TAAGGTGTGACCTTGGGTTGGTTGTTCTTTATAAATAACTTGGATGAAGAAGTTGAGGGGATGCTCATCAAATTTGCAGATGGCACCAAACTGGGAGAGGTATCTACAATCCAGAGAGCCCCTTAAGTCAATGACTGGACAAATAAGGCTATCAATGGCCACTGGCCATGATGTCTGTGCTCTGCCTTCACTGTTTAATGCTTCTGAATGCCAGTTGCTGGAAACCATGGGAGGGGAGAGCACTTTTGCATTCAGGTCCTACTTGAGGATTTCCTATAGGCATCTACTTGGCCATTGTTAGAACAGGATGCTGGACTAGATGGTGCATTGGCCTGATCCAGCAGGGTGGTTCTTATGCAGATGGGTTTGTGTAGGCCAACTGGTTCTTTCATCTCCCTGCTCTCCTGCCCCCCATCTGGTGTTGCATTGCAAACTGGCTTTGAAGCCAGCTCCAGGTTTCTAAAACACCAGCTTGTAATGTGGTACAGGTCATGGGGAATGAGGCGATAAAACTCCTGCAGGGTATGCAGAACAAGTTATGTGGCTTTCTCAGTTCTCGCCATAGACTTGTTTGCTACTTCCACAATTCACTTTTCCCAAGAGGTTCTGAAGTTACAGCAGTGTCTACCATAGGCTCATTAAGGATGTCACAGTGTTAATAAGTTCTCCACTCCTACGCAACTTGCCTAGATCCAAGCTAGAAGATTAAAGATACTTGAAGCCACTTTGGATAATCTTCCTAAAAGCACCATTCCCAATCTCATGGGAATGCCCTGAAGGAAAAGATAGCTGAACCTATGTTAAACAGCAGGCTGCATGGTAAGCCATATCGGAACTTCAAAAGCACTTTGTGATCTTGTGCAAGGTGGCTTCTGCCCCAAGGGGAAATGCTTAGAAGTTCCACTGAGCACACTCAAGCCCTCTAGGCTTGACTGGAGTAACTCCCTTGATTGTGATCAAGATTTGAAGGAGTTGTGAACATTTTAAGAAATATGTATTAAGAACTTTTTATATAAGCTCCTAAGCTTTGCTCCAAATGCTCCAAACTGAATGTTCTCAAACTTTGTCCAACAATTATTTTTTTCCCAATCTAAAAATAAATGGGGTGGGGGGGATTCAGCCCAAGGTTAATTAAGTAGTGAAAGGTCCTTCACCATGGGACATTTCACTAGTTTTCTGCATGACACATGTTTCTGTTGTTTTGTTCTTGGCAAAGCATGGGTCAGCTAATAATAACACAGAACCTCTGACCTGAAGTGTGGAGCTTCTTTTGCATCCTAATGCAAGTCCTGCTTTTATTTTTGTGCCTTTTTCCCTTTTCTTTTTGGTATAATCTTTATAAACCTGGACTGCTTGAATTGCATTTCCTGAGCATTTCAATTATAGATAGTGAAATGTTTAAGTGAAGATGAAATAGAATAACAACAAGCAAGGCCTCTGCTCTGATTTGACGCAGAGTCCAAAGACCAGCTCACATAGAAACTTTATTTTTAAAAGCTGCTTGCTGGGGGAAGGGTAACTGGTGGTACTGGTCATCCATTGCTACTCCTAAACATCCACTTGATGAGAGTCTAGGCTTTTGAAACAAGCTTCAAGCATACAGCCTCAGCTTCAAGACCAGAAATTGCACCCACTACACCAGTCTTTGCATGCATTCTCCTAGCAAACTATGCCCTGCTTCTGTGCACATATACCTTATAAATGGATAAAGGAAGAGACAGCCAGCATGACTTCTCCAGATGTAGTCTCATCATCCCTGACCACTGGCCATGTGATTGGGGCAGATGGGAGTTGTAGCACAGCAATATCTGGAGGGCAACACATTGGCTATATCCCTGGATTAAGGCTAACTTCCCTAAACTGATACCTTCCAGATGCTAATTAAAGGACTAATTAAAGCCAAAAAAGTCATTTTTTTAAAAAAAATGAAAATTTGGGGGAGGATCTGGTGGGGTGCACAAAAAAACCTCTTAGTCCATTAGTTACACACCCCAACTGCAGATAAAGCATTTACTTCTCCATGTACTTATTTTATTCTTACAAATTGGCTGAAAGCATTTCGACTCAAGCAATGAGGATCTGAGATGAGTTGGGTGTGTGGGTGTGTGTTTCCAGCTGTCCCATATTTTATAGAGATGGCACTCCTAATCAAATTGTTCTCACACACTGTGAAGTGTTTGGGATTCATAGAGGGCCTGGAGTACTTCCCCAGGGAGTAAGACTTGAGCTGACAGAAGTCCAGAAAAGCAGCCAGATGAAAGGGTCTGATGCACAAGTACAAGCTAAATTGGACTAGTTGTAGTTGGCCTTGACTGAGGGGTGCCAAACGGCCATATTATTAAAAAATAAGTCTTGCATGCACACCTAAAGCTTGCCAAGTAAAGGTAAAGCAGACTAGTAGGCACATTGCTAAAAAAATTAATTTCCAGCATTAATTTCTTCAAAACTGTGTTATTTCTGGTGCTTTTTTGGAGTGTTCCAACCACAATTCCACAAATCTATATAACTGGTAGGGCATTTTGCTCATCAGTACTGATTTTCCAGTTCAGTATGTGACATGCAAGATCGAAGGGTGGACATCTTGAAGACATCATTATGCTGTACCTAAAACTGCAGAACTTCTAGAGAGTCTTATATAACAAGGGTGTTTTGTGTGTGCTTTTAAAATCCTCATTCTGGATTCTGCAATATTTTCAAACGTATCCAAGTGCTAATAATGCTTCCATCCTTCACACAATTACCAAGAGTTGCAGGCATTGCCGTGGATATAAATGACTGGCAAGCTTAACATCTCCTGTTTTCAGTTATGGGAAACTGTGAAGGTGAAAAAGTCACTCTCATTAGTGATGGATCTGAGATTGCACCTTGTGGCTGACCAACTTTATATCCATTTAACCAGATATTAGCAATTCATCTGGGGCACATATCAAAATAGGTAATAAATATATTTAGGGTAAAAGGCAACTCACTGGGAACTTCTCTACTGAACAGTGAAATGAAATGAAATTTGGTAAACATGTTCAGGACACCGTTCTGTATGTTATATTCAAAAAAGCTTAGCTTTTGCATCTATTTTCAAAAGACTGGAGAAAATGCAACATTGTAATATACGCCCCTTGAAATTTGATATACCAAAATAAAAAGCGAGTTATTTTTCAGATGTTCTAAATTCATGCACATTATTCATGGTGACATCACAGTGACAAGCTCCACACCCAATGTATGCATGATGTCTGAGAATTCACTGAGCTTGATCTTAACATTTTCTCTTAGAAATGCTCAGAAATGGCCATTTAGCCATACTTGGCTTCTAGACACGGAAATTCATTGTTCCATGAATTTTTCTAGATTATTATCCCCCCTCTGTGTTAGCTATGGTTAAAATTATGGCCTTGCCCACCTATTGTCACCCAGAATTGAATTGGGAAAGAAAGAAAAACCAATTTAAGCAACGTGCTGTTTATGTTAAACTGCTCTGAGCCATGATTCCAAAGTTGTCACTCCATGACCACCACTAATCAACCGGAGACTTCTTTGCAGTCTGTTGGGAGCTGATGGGTCCTGTGTTTCAAGTGCTGTTCCTCAAGTCCAGCTGCTAAATCTCATTAAAAACAACTAAAAGATACATTAAATACTCCACTAAAATGACTTTTCCATGAATGCAGTTCTGAGTGTGAATATTATTTCTTCCTCTGAAGCTGTTCTCTTCCAGAAGCTAAATAAATAATAATTAATAACTTATTTATAAAGCCCCACCATCACCAGCAAGGGGCTTACAGCACTGTACAACATCATCAAAACATGATCAAAACCTAATGAACAGAAGTTCACCTTCATTAAAATTCAAGCAACAATATGATTACAGATGCAATAACATGGGTTTTTTTTCCAATCGCTGTGTCTGTTCACACAACTGGGCTTACACACAGCGTTTTGACGACTGGAGTTGCTTTTCAAGAATGATCAGCTGCAGCCAAAATTTAAGTTATGTATGTGTAAAAGATGTAACAACACTTTCCCTCCTATTTCTCCTCCTGTGTTGAGTTTCATTGAGATTAACTACAGTACTTTGACAGTCTTGGATCCTAAAGCACAGCTCACGCTGAGAAAAATGTTGTGGTGAGCTGCTATCATCAGGACTGGGCAATGCTGAAAAACATGTATTTGAAATTTGTATTCAGTCCCAATTGCGCTGTCACACTAGGATTCTGCTCTAGCTGCAGGGGCATAACTCTCTGCTTGCACTGAGGCAGCTAAAATGGATTCATAAACAGATTATGGGGCCATATCCTAAGATACATGTTGGGGGACGGGACACTCCCAGACATCTCATCTATCACTGTATCTAGAGCTCAGCAGTCCATTCTTTTTATAAGTTTTACCAAGAAGGAGAGGATGCAATCTTGCTTAACTGAGTGCAACAATTTAATGACTAAAGCTATAGAAGATTACTGCTAATGCTGCCATTTAGAACATAACTAGAGAAGCGCACTTTATTTTTTGACAGAGAGTTAGGTTAGGTGCATTGAATTTATTAATTGATTCCCAGGAACAACAAAACGCCCTGAAGTGATTTAAAACAAAAATAAAATATAGCATTAAAAATGCATGGCATATAAAAAGGTCAGACTAAAAACATCCAATAATTGTTACTCCCACAGGAAAACAGAAACTTCTTTGCCTGTACCAAAATGATAACAGAGTTGGCTCCAGGTGAGTCTCCTTAAGGAGAGCATCCCATAGATGGGAAAGGCCCTTTCTCTCATCACCAGTTGATGGTGAGTTTGAAATTATAAAATCTGCCTATGTGTCTGCTCTGAAGAATATTAAGCTTAAGGTAGGTACAGGGCCGGCCCACCATTGAGGCTATAGGGCAGCAGATCTCAATGTTGATTTTTATCCCCCCTTTGTTCCTGATGTCGGTCTTCACTCTCCTCTTTTTCCCTGGTGGGGAGTGGGGACATCATATTGTGGTTCCTCTCTGGTCCCAAAATATTATTGGGCCAGCTCTGGGTGGGTAGCTATGGGATCAGATGACGTGAAATACCGGTACCTCCTGCTTCCATAGCTACCCACCCAGAGCTGGCCCAATAATATTTTGGGACCAGAGAGGAACCACAATATGGTGTCCCCACTCCCCAGAACATAGAGAACTGTGACCAAGAACTGTTACCAGAACATAGAGAACTGTGACCAAGCTGGAGGTGAACATCCAAATAAATTGGCATAGGATGATTGTAGCCATGGTGCACAGTCCTTTTCATGAATACTCAGGAGAAAGTCCCCTTTTGTTGCGTGGGGTTCCCAATTTAGTATTTTTAGTTTAGTGGCCTTAGAAGATACCCTAATTAAATCCTGTAGTATGTGAAGTGTGTGCATTTATTTCATAGTCAATATATCTCACAGGTTATATGCTACATGCTGATATGTATTTAAAATATATGGCTTTAAATACCTATGCCTTTAACAGGGGATAAGGGAATCTTACATTTACTGCATGGTTTTACTGTAATGATGATTGAAATACTAGCTGGTCCACAGTACTGTAATACATGTATTTATCAACCAAAAGCTACCACTGAAACATAAGCTTTTTAACAGCAGTGTTGGGTGAGCAGAACAAAAGAGAATTGTAAGACCCATCCCTATCCCTCCTCCTCCAAGCAACATCAAAACCTTCACCTCTTACAAATAGGTTAGACAAATGGAAAGAAAAAAGTACAGGGAGGAATAATGGACATAATATAGCAATGTTAGGTTGCTATTAACAGCCGGTGTTCCTGATAAGATTCAGCTCCTGAACTACAGAAATGTAGGGGGGAGGGGAACCAGATTAAGACAGTTGCTTTGATGCCTTAATACACTATCTGTTTAATTTAAGATTACATAGATCACACAAGACACAAATCCCCAAATGTTTCAAAAAACCTTTTAAACCTTCCAAAACATTGCAGAATAATGTGGAAAGTTTCTTCTCATTGTCTTGGCATTTTAGACAAGCGCAAATACAATAGGCATCAGCATGTATGAGTAAAAGCACTGGGTGCTGTATTGGATTTGTTCTTTTAAGGCTATTTTATCCCATATTCTCTGTCTCATAAAATCAAATGAGCAAAACCATCACTTAGGGGCACAGATAGCAGATGCTACACATTGTTACAACAGTTTTATAAACCAGCAAGATAGTTTGTCTCATGGAGACTTTGGTATCCGTGTACAACCAGAGGTTTTGGGTTGGGATTGGGTTCTGTCATGGGCCCATTGTTGTTCAACATCTTTATAAACAACTTGGATGAGGGGATGCTTGTCCGATTTGCAGATGACACCAAACTGGGAGAGTAGCTAATGCAGCAGAAGACATGATCAGGAATCAAGGTAACCGTAACAGATTGGAGAACTGGGCCCAAACTAACAACATGAATTTCAATAGGGACAAATGTAAGGTTTTGTGCTTAGGCAGGAAGAGTTAGCTGCACAAATATAAAATGGGGGACACCTGTCTTGCCAGTAGTGCATGAGTAGTACAAGCTTAACATGAGTCAACAGTGTGACGCAGCAGCAAAAATGCTAATGCTATTTTAGGCTGCATCAACAGAAGTATAGTGTCCAGATCAAGAAAAGTAACAGTACCACACTATTCTCCCTTGGTCAGACCACACCTAGATGAATGTGTCCAATTCTGGCCAACACAATTTAAGAAGGGTATTGACAAATTGGAGCGTGTTCAGTGGAGGGAGACCAACATGGTAAAAGGTATGAGGAATGGTTGAGGGACATCCTGTAGGATTTGTTGGGGATTTGTTACATAGCAAAGTGACTCTTTTTGTGAGTGAAAAAATGTAACCCACATTAATATATGAACTGATCTTCAATGATATGCAATGGAATTCTATACATATTTCTTCATAAACAGGTTCTATTGTCTTTAGTGGAGCTTACTCCAAATTTGTATAGGTTTACAGACTTCGCATATGTGAGTTGCATCCAGTTGGTGCTCCTCCCCTGACAGAAGGCTCTCTGAGCCAGTGCAATTTCTTTTTCCACCAGCAGAATTGGGGGAAAGTAATGGCTGACAATTCCTGCTTTCCTCTGCTGACCCGCAGTACCCCCCCCCCAACCACACAATCTTCTCTGGAAATTTGGGAGGAGCCTTTGGAATAGTGTGGAAAGTGGTGGTGGAGGGCTTCTGTGGCAAAGAAGAATCACCCTCAAAAAAACAAAAATCCTGATACCTGTTGTATTGTTGGAAGGTTCTGGGGGAAGAGCTGTAGCTCAGTGGTAAAGGATCCTCTTTACATGCAGAAAGTTCCTTCTCTGGCAGGTCAGACTTCCACCATCAGAATTTCTGGAGATCCACTGCCAGAAGTGTAGGCAATACTGAGGTAAATGGACAAATGGCCTGCTTTGGCATGAGGCAGCTTACTATGTTCAGCTAGGTCAAACAGTCTTCTGTTACACAAATAGATACAACGCATCAGTGGCATTGCGTCTTTTGTTGGTGCCTGAGATGTGCACACAACAGCTGGGACCAGGAGCTGGGTGCTGAGGTTGAACAAAACCCGCTGTGCCAGCCCAACTCTCACCGCTTCCACTGCCAGGCAAGTATGGGATAAGGAGGTTTCATTGGTCTGTGCTGCACCCACTGCCCATGCAGGGGGAGCCCAGCTGGTTGACATGGCCCTTGGGGGGCACATGCCCCCAACAATGGTCGGGCAGTCATTCAGCGAGGGGGCCAATGGTGCAGCAGCAAGGCAAGGCTAGGCCCTAGGACTGGCAGGCAGGGTGGGGGTCCCTGTGGGGGGCACCTGGTTCAAGCCCCCTCAAATTATGCACCTGGAGCTACACTCCCCCGGTTCTCCCCATGCTACACCCCTGCAACCCATAGTATATTCTTCAATGCAGTTTGATCCTATTCATGTTTATTCGGAACTCTACCCCACTTGACTCTCCAGGACTTCCTCCCACAGACGTGTGCAGAAGACTGCAACCTTAGCAAGTGAAACAGTTCCGTTTGCCAAGTACCCACAAACAAAATGAATGCACAGCTTATCTGCAGGATTTACTGAATACTTTTAGCATGATTTAGATCACTGCATTTGTCGGTGCAGCGAAGGTCCTCCTTGGAATAAAGGTGAAATATATTCATAAGTGAGAACGCTCACAATGCATTAGGAATTTAGAGAAGAGTGTACAGGTTCCAAAGCAATCTGAAGTAAGTGGGGAAATAAGTATATGGTATGTTAAGTATGTGAGGCTTTCCACAATGAGAAAAGAGGCTGTTGCATTGTGTTATGATTTTGTGGGAAGCTGCCAAGGCACAGGCAGTAAATTACTATGGTCCAGAATAACTCGAACAAGCATCTGTGAAAGGTGTGTTTGATAGATTGTCACAATAACCAGATGATGGTAATATAACAATCGAACGTGGAGTCATGCCATAGGAACTATCTGCGGGGCTGGGAACTGTAGATCATGTTGGGTAAATTCTCTCTTGTTTTGTGAAAAGGCCCAAGGCGTTGCTTTTCAGCTGAGATGCACTTTTCCAGATGGCTCAGAGAATACAGAATGTGATCTTGTCTTGCGTTGTCAGTGTGTATTGTTTGTCTAATATTCTGGGAACCCAGCCTTTAATTGAAAGTTTTATGATAAATGTGATTGGAATCAAAAGCAAGTCACTGAATGGTGGAGTCAACTAGTTCAGAAACTAGAAGGAGAGACACGGAATAGAATAGAATAGAATAGAATAGAATAGAATAGAATAGAACAGAACAGAATAGAATAGTTGGACGGGACCCTGAGGTTCATTCAGTCCAACCCCCTGCAATGCAGGAACATGCAGCTGTCACATACAGGGATCGAACCTGCAACCCTGCTGTTATTAGCATCATGCTCTAACCAACTGAACTATCTAGGACTATCAAACTCTGAAGTGTGATGTGAATCCCATATGTTCCAACTCTGTTTGCCAAGGGTTCACAAGGCTACTTTTGCCTTGCCAAAAGGAGGAACCAGCATCACCAAAAAGAAAGGATGCAGATGAAGATGCAAATTTAGCAAGAAATGCTAAAATTAAGGTAGACCTAAATTACATCTCACTGTAGTTGGGAAGATTGTGACCGACAGATCTGTTCCATCTGCTGTCCAAGTGCTACTTGGTGACTGAGGGACAACTTCAAGCCCCCTGCTCTCCCTGCTTAGGGGTCTTTTTATCTTTAAACCAAACAGAATTTCAGATACAGGGAAGGGGCTGGAGCTCAGTGGAAGAGCATCTGCTTTTGCATGAAAATGGTACCAGGTTCAATTCCCAACATTTCCAGGTATAGCCGGGAGAGAATCCTGCCTGGAACCCAGGTGAGCCATAGCTAGTCAGTGCAGCCAATACTAAGCAACATGGTCCTGTTATGAAGCAGCTTCCTATATCCCTAAAGGAGTGTCTTCTGGGAAATAAGGCAACAGGGCCACCCTACCAAGGACAGTCTCTATTTCTTGTTTCTTATCTCAGACAAAACACTCCCCCTGTTTTGCCTTTTCAGTTAGAAATTGGATAGGCTTTCTTTCAAAAAGTATTGTTTTGGTTGTTGTTTTTTTTAATCATTTTTATTTGATTTTACAAATATAAAATTCTAACAATCCAAATACAATATCCATATATTGAGATTACTCTGAATCTTGCGACTTCCCCCACCCCACCACCTCTATGGGGTAATATTCTCAACATTTACAACTGCGTATTATTCCATACTCTACATTTTTTATCAGTCCATATTATCCATGGTATTTGTTACATTACAAGTGGATTTAAAACCCTGCTAATGTTTCCATTTGCTTACAGTGGTCTCCTAAATAACTTACAATCTCCCCCCATTCTTTTTAAAAGTTTTTGACCTCTTGGTTCCTGAGTTTTCCAGGCAGGTTTGCCATTTCGGCATAGTCCATCAGCTTAATTTGCCATTCCTCTCAGGTAGGGGCTGAAAAAATATTGTTAATCTGCGCATACATGTTTAGGGTTCAGCCAGTTTTCCAGATCCCTGGAAGCTGTATCTTAGAGAAGGGGCATGTGATGTGACACCATATACGCCTCTGTCCGCCACTTCTGTTGTGTGTTATTCACTCTGCTGATTGAGGCGTGCTCAAGCTTCTGAAGGCTTCTGAAGCTGTTTTGATGCTGTTCCAAGGGCTGGAGTTCGCCCGGCTGCCGGCCAGTGGGCTGGAGCCAGCTGGGGGCCTGTGAATTGCCCCCGTTCCCTTGGACACATCCCAACAGACATCACATTGGTCTGTGATGATGTCACGATGGTGCAGTGCAGCATGCCCGCTGGGTACTCACAGTCTGGGGCCCAACTTGGCACCTCTGGCCTTAGCCTCCATTGACTGCCTTTACTGCCTGACCCCTTCACTTTTCAATGGCTTGAGCTGCTCCTGTTACACAGACTTTTCTATGATAGTCTCTCTCCATGACAGGCATTGTTAGGCTGGTTTTTACTTATTTATTTATTTTGCTTCTATACAATCGTGCACCCTCTAATGTAAACCTCAAAGCAGCGTGAATCATGATTGATGGCATGGAATACCAACAAATAATAAAAAAATGAATCATTATTCTGTGCATTACTCTTGTTAGCAGAGAAGAAAATTATGCTGTGAATTATACTGCAGGCATCTTAGTTTGAGCTCAGGGGAGCTAAATTTCAGCTCAGTAGTCCTTATACTTTTTAATTATTTTTTCCTTTGTACATCAGAATAAGTTTTAAATGGATTCATTGAGCAATATGGGGGCCACAAGGGGATGATTTAAATACCTGCAATTCCCATTGTTATTAATCAAAGGCTTTTTTAAAGGTTTCTAGATAAACATTTCCCCTTATGCTTAGAAGGATTGAAATAAGGATGAGATTTTTAAAAAGAAAACTTTCATTCTTCCAAGAAATATACAGTGTAATGCATAGTTTGCCATTTAATATTTGTAAATATTATTGAATTGTATTTTAAATCTAATCGTTTGATTTTATGTTTTTAATGTATTATATATTTGGTGTTAGCCTCCCTGACCCCATTCTTGGCCAGGGAGAGTGGGGTATTTTTATTTATTTATTATTATTATTATTATTATTATTATTATTACCATCATTAATAAAATAGGTTTTTTAATAATCTGGAATTTTGCAGTAATCATTCTAAACATTTTCTAGGTGTAATTATTATTATTGTTATTTATTTACCTGCCTTTAACCTTAAGTTCCCAGGGTGGGTTACAACACAATATAAACAGTTTAGATCAATGTACAATTACAAAACTCAGGTGGGTCCTAAAAATATAAATATCAAGAATCAGAGTAAAGTAAAGTAAAAACAAAAATCAGAGTAAAGAGGTGTATCTTCAGCATTTACCATAAGCAGTATAATGAAGGTGCTAAATCATTTCTTTCTACAAATCAAAATAATATATTGGGTCTATTGGCTTGTATCCAGTGTTGCACGAAGCAAATGTCCCATCATTACAAGGATTCAAGTGCATACCACAAATTTAGTTTTGTGCAATTAAAGAGAAACAAAGCAATCTGTCATCTTTGTGCAACAAACCCTTTTGGTGGTTCAACAATGTCTGGCAGGCCAAAGGTGTCATAAAGCTTTCTGTTTCAGAATGTTCCATGTGTCATTCGATCTGAGAGTGCAGTAGAGATATCTTCAATAAGCATTCGATGTAGCTGAAGACTGGGAGATTCAGGACAGATAAAGGAAAGTACTTCTTCACACATAAAGTATGGAACTCGCTCTCACAGGAGGTGGCAATGGCCACCAGTTTGGATGGCTTAAAAGAGGATTAAACAAATTCATGTAGAACAAAGCTATCAATGGCTATGGATTTGCCAAGCGTGCCTTCCTCTTATCACATTTCTTCCTTGCATCCCGAGTTTGAGTGTCTTCAAAGCCCATGACACCTTTGGTAAAGGCTGTTCTCCAACTGGAGTGCTCGCAGGCCAGTGTTTCCCAGTTGTCAGTGTTTATACTACATTTTTTTAGATTTGCCTTGAGACAGTCTTGAAACCTCTTTTGTTGACCACCAGCATAACGCTTTCCATTTTTAAGTTTGGAATAGAGTAGTTGCTTTGGAAGACGGTCATCAGGCATCCGCACAACATGGCCAGTCCAATGAAGCTGATGTTGAAGAATCATTGCTTCAACACTGGTGATCTTTGCTTGTATGTTCTGCTTCCACAGACCTTATGCCTCTGATTACCAGTTGCTGGTCGAATTCATGTCCAGCTTGCAGACTTCCCATGGGCATCTGGTCTGCCACTGTGAGAACAGGATATTGGGCCACAGGCTTGATCCAACGGGCTTTTCTTGTGTTCTTTTGTACTTATGATTAGATTTCTCCAGGAGTGATCTCTCTTTTCCAACACAACAGATTTTGCCTTTGGGCAAAGTTGTAATGAGTTGTTCATGAGCATTTTGTTATGCTTCCAACCTGTAATTAGCTCAGACAATGAAGACAATGCAGAACTGAAAATACAAGAAGTCCAATCAACGGAATCTATTTATTGCAAGAGTGCAAGGAATTCTTTTTGCTGAGGTCAGATACAATGGACTAACATGGCTATTGGCACTTCAGAAAACAAATGCAGCACTTTTAGACAGTTCAAAAAATGAATGAAATGTTAAGGAAAGCCCAATCAAAATGTCTATTAAATGGACTTGCTTTTGAAGTGCCAAGGGATGATGAAATTACAGCGATAACTTCCATTGGGCGGGGAATGATGCTGGAAAACAAAGCAGTCAACAAAATTCCATTTCCTACAGTAATTACAAAGTTCTGTTGTATAAAAGTTTAACAGCCTTAGCAGAAGTGATTTGGAAAGCTTATTAGATTGCCATATCATAGTTTCTGCAACAGGGCAGCAGAGTTTGCATGCCTCAGCTTCTTAGGTTGTGGCAAATACTCATATCACAGCTGACAATTATTTTATTTTGTATTGTGCTTTTCAGATCCAAAAATCCTCCTAAGTAGGTCACAAGGTGTGTAGGAGAGAGAGAGAGAGAGAGAGAGAGAGAGAGATTTAAAGCAGCTATTTATCCTCTCCTGGTGCAACAGGACTTTCTCTTTGGTTTTTCTACCTGGGTCCCCCACATCTGCTCAGGAGGGTTGGGGAAACCCAGGGCAAATTGGAGGTGTGGGAAGGTGTAGGAAGGTGTGGAGAGGTGTGGAGTGCCTCACCTGGATGCAATCCTAAATTTCAAAATGACTAATGCCAAAAATAAAGCAGAAATTTTAAATATGAGTTAGCTAGGACTAACAATAGATGGTGTAACTCTGAGTTTAAGACCTCCCTTGATTCTTACCAAAGATTTTAAAATATCTGAACAGTGACTGGAGAGTTCTATCCTACTGAATACTGCTTCACCAATGCATTTCATGAGAGGAGCACTCTGGTAGAGCAGATCCCTGCAGCCAGCAGGAATTAAAGTGCTGTTCACCAGCTGCTGAGCTGAGGGTCCAATCCTTCTCAGTCTGGCTACATGTACATGTTCCCCTCCTGGAAACACTCACACACAGCCAAAGCAGAGTGCAGGTCTGTTTGACAGTCCTCTTGCAAGCAGCCCTACCTTGCTCTTTGCAGAGGCTGCTTGCTTCTCTTCCTTCACTGCCACATTCAATGCCCCACCAGATTGCTCCAGTTGGGTGAGCCTGACCAGTGGCAATCCAGGGCTGTCTCAACCAAATTCAGCCAGTGCCCAGTTGGATCTGCTGAAATGCAATGCATAGTCCTACTAATTAAACACCAGAGCTGCCAAATTGGTTTGGGGTCTGGATCTGGGTCAGGCTGTGCCCAAGTCTGGGCTGGTCCAAAATCCCAGTTTGGATCCTAAATTAGATGTGGTTCCTATGAGATCTCCTATGCCGGAATTGGCCAGA